CCACTTACCACAACTTGCGGTGCCCTTCAACAGAATACTGAGTACTGTAGTATAGAGCAAGTAGAAGTGAATTCTGTACAAATCTTTCGAAATATGGTGAAAAACGTTATACAAATTGTCAGTCGTGAATATCGTTCTCGTTCCTGTTTAAAATATCTGACTCACGGTATTACAGGACTCACAAATGTGACATGTCATCGTAAGTGTGCAATCGTTCTCTGCATCGAATAGTGGTAAACTGTTGCACAGATGTTGCCTCCATCACAGGTTCAGGCAAGCTGTTCCAGTTATTTACCACTCTCCGTTCGAAGCGCAGTGGGTGGGGAGCTCGCTTTGCATCCGACACAAGTTTGTATCTGTGTCCGCGTGTGCTGCATGGCCTTCGTAAGTGCAACATTGGCCTCATCATGGGGAAGTCACTGAGATGTAGAATACGGTAGGCCATGAGGTCGACTCGCACCCGACGGTAGGGCAAGGTGTAGAGTACTAGTTTCTCTCACCGGTCTTCATACCCCAAGCCACGTAAACTCGAGATGAGCCTGGTAGCAACGTGTTGGACCCGTTCGAACCTTTGTGCCTCGCCTCGGGTAATCGGAAGGTAGGTGGGCGAACCGTACTCTAGCATCGATCTAATGATGGAAGAGAAGAGGCGAGTGACAACCTCTACAGACCATGTACCGAAGCTACGTTTGAGCGCCTATTACGTCCGTTACGATATAGCCTGTTCGTGTTGTCCACGAGCGTACACTTAGGTCCTTCACGGAGGGTGTGGGATATAGCGGTTGGCTGTCAAGGATGTAGATTCGGCCGTCAGCACCCTTCCCCGGGCTCATAAATACACACTTGGCTGGGTTGATCGGGAGATGAACTTTTACAGACCATGTGGATAGGCGGTTGTGGTTTTGCTGAAGTAGGCCACAGTCGTCGGGAACGTCACTTTCTCTCCAACTCTTCATGTCGTCCGCAAACAAGGCACACGGCGACCGGAGAAGCTGAGGTAGATCGTTGATATGGATCAGGAACAGAGTGGGCCCCAGCACTGTGCCTTGAGGCACGCAACTTGTAGAGGGATACCAGTCTGTTAGATGGTCGTCGACCTGTACCCTCCACGTTTGTCCAACAAGAAAGTCACGGATCCACCGGTGCAGTGAGCCACCGATACCACACATCTTGGGCTTGTGAAGTAGAACCTCATGGCTGACCTTGTCAAACGCTTTGCTGAAATCGATGAATAGCACGTCGACAGACTTCCCCTTGCTTCTTACCTTCGACCACTCATGCCTCGTCACAAGCAAGTTTATAATGCATGAGCGGCCTTGCATAAAACCGTGTTGTGCGAGCATCAGAACCTCTTTTGGCTGTAGCAACTACAATATTCCCTTTTTTACGATTTTCTTAGCAACCTTTTCCAAAATAGGTGCCAGACAAATTGGTCTGTAGTTGTCTACTTTGCTAGGGTCGCCGCCTTTCGGAATAGGCTTCACCACCGAACATTTCCAGTCAATCGACAACGAACCTTCGGACAGCGACCTGTTGAAAAGGCCAGTCAGGAGAGATAGCCGAAAGTGACTTGAGAATCAGTGCGTGAAGCCCATCAGGTCCGGCAGGTTTGGTGCCGTCAAGGTTGGCGAGTAGTTGACATACCTCTTCAACGCCGCAATGCAGACTATCGAGTTCGGTAAAAGCGGTACACGTCGAACTCGGAACAGACACCTGGTTATTCGCAAATACAGAAGCGAAGTGCGCCGCCAACGCGGACGCACACTCAGTGCTAGAGGTTAGGGGCTGTCCATCCGGGCCATCTAGCACTGGCACATCACCTGTCGGCTTCACGTAAGCATGGCTTCTCTTTGGGGCGATTTTTGCGGCGATTTTGAGCTGCTCTTTGAAATGTCGGCGCTTATTCCTTTTTGCGCGGTTTCAGAGGTTCCCCTGACTTTTATATCTTTCGTAGTCAGAGCCAGAGAGGAATGTCCCAGTCTGCGCCGTCTCTGAGCCAGATTTCCATACTCCTTGTCAAACCAATGAGGCTTAATCCGTCCAGCCTTCCGACATTTCAGGGGCACAAATTGTGGACACAATGATGTCAATATCTCTTTTATACATATTTAACAGTCTTCCACAGTTTCAGCTTGTGACAGAGACCAGTCAAGTTGGTTCGCGGCTCGCGGCTCGAGCTAGACCGTCGAAGTCCGTTTTCCAGTAGTTGTAAGCTGGTTCCGGCGGACGTGAATACGGCAAAGATAATTCCATATCAGCTATGAGCACTGAGTGATCGCTTGTAGCCAGGTTCTCCAGGATCCGAACGTCACGTACTCGTTGTTCGTAGCTCCTTAACATTAGGTTGAGACACGACAGAGTTGAACGTGTTGTTATGCGTGTTCGCTGGCATATGTGTTGCGATGCACCACTTTCAAGTACCAGATTCACGAACTTTGCTTCAACCTCATTATGTCCAGGCATCAAATGCACATCAGGCCATCGTATTCGAGGACAGTTAAAATCGCCCATAAGTAGAAACTGTGGACGGCTCATGTGGTTTACAATGTAAACAATGACTCAGGCGCTGCGATAGACTGTGCCCACAAGTAGTTCTCCTCGCCTGAGGCGGATGGAGCATCACAGTAGCTCACACGAACCATTGTCACTTTGGTAGGTGCTCACAAGTCTCCCACGCAGGAAAGACCGCATTTAAAGCAAGACGTCCTCAGCCTCTTCAACCAAGCTGCAGTTGTTTAAATGAACTAATGCAATGGTCACTGAGCTCTCTGCTTGACGCTGAACACATCTGTTATTGACCCCCTTTCCGTTGAACGCGCTCAAATAACCAGTTCGCCTAGGTTCGTTCTCACGCGTCGAGTAGCCGACTACGCAATTCAGACTAATCGCTTGATGACGCCAGTGCGAAGCCTAGCCGCCATCTGGACGGTGATGGAACTCTGCAATTGTGTGACGCACACAATACAAAAGATCGTGACCCCCGCGACTGCACTACGACCGGAGAGATCGAAGAAAAACAGGCTTTTCACCGAACACTTCACTCACTCAGTTGAAGACGTTACACCCTCTGAGTTATAGCACAAACTACGCACTACGCTGGGCGTGATTTTCGGCAGGACGAATTTGTTCACGAAGTTGCGTGGTCACACTGTGAGCGCCACGTGACATAACTCTCTGCGCAAACGAATATTGTAACTTGTGCCTCTGTTGCGTATCTTTGCAGAATCAGTTGACGTTCCTGCGGCAGCATCTAAGTGCAATGGCATTCTGTTTTTAGTTCATAAAACAGCTCATTACCAGGATCTCTACACGGATTGTTCCAGACTTCAGATAGATGGTAAGAGCTTGAACTCTACATCGGCAAAAGTTCTTGGAATCACACTGAGCCACGATTTATTGCGGTCACCCCACGTGATTGAAATATTCGCTGTATTTCAATGACTTTATTTTACGCGTCCCATAGTCTTAAAGATCACAAGCCCGCCTTATAATCCGAGGGCGCGGGTTCGAGCTTGCGTAGGGACCGGGCGACTCTCTCAGTATCCTCAGCCCACGTGCGACTATTGATGGTTGCGGGACTGCAAAGCCTCGGTACTGCGTACCGTCGTACTGCTGATACCTTTCTTTTTACCTTACGCGTCTCAATTGCAACCGTCCTCTGTATCATGCAGTTTCACTATGAAGTTCACCACTTCATATATTCTGCGCCGTTGAGTTTACAGCCCTTCTGTGAATTTCCAGACCTATTGTGTAAACAATCCACGCTTTTACCAATCTCCGCCACGTTTGGCGCAGACGCGACATTACTCTCTCTCTGAAGGCCCTAGTTTATAAGACAGCCGTCCGTTCAACCCTCTAATACGGTTGTGAAACTTGATCCATCAGGTCGACAGACATAAAGAAGCTAGCCAGGTTCGATCATCGCTGCCTTCGCAGCTTAGCTCATGTCTGGTGGGAACACCGCGTGAGCAATGAGCGTGTTCGGCGTCGCGTAGTTGGTGCAGGAAAACCTAGTGAACCGCTCAGCACCATTACATCCCTCACCAGGCTCCGATGGCTGGGCCACGTGTTGTGCAGGTCAGCACACTGACTCCCGCGACGCGCATTGTTTACGCGCCGGAGGTGTGGTTGGAAGAGGAGGGGAGGCCAAACGATGACACGATCGAGAGAAATGAAAACCCTCACTTCGAAGCTGGCGTTGGTTGGTGCATCTTGACTGCCTGGCTGGGTTCCTAAGGACGATGAACACGTTCGGTTGGACACACTTGTTGATATGGTTAGGAGCCGACCCCAATTGTGTTGTGAGTTTCCTTGTCCATCCCCCTCCCTTTAGGTTCCTCCTCCAATCCCGATCTCTTGCAAAACACAATATAATATTTAACATCATATTTTCTGTAGTGTAATTTGTAGTGTACTTTTTTAGTCTCTTGTCTTTTTGTATTGCGGCATATTAGCTGAGGTGTGTTTCTCGCCCTCAGCTAACGTGTACTGATGTTGATGAAGTTCGATCTTATATTTTTATGTAATTTTTTTGGTTTCATCTTTTTGTGTTTCGGCATATTAGCTGTGGTATGTTTCCCACCCTCAGCTTACTTGTATTGATGATGATGATGTCCACGCTTCTTGGCAGGCCACTGCAGTGGCATTCCAAAGCTAATTTTCCACAAACTATTGTATCTACCCGTCTTAATGCCTGCACAAAAAGTTCCTGGGTACCATTTTCACAGTGCACTGCCTAACTGCATGTCTACTTCATCGACCAGACGGACAGACCAATATATGCCCGCACGTCCTACGGTTCGTCGGTCAATCCCTATTTAGCCAGATTTCTGCTTGATCAGAACACTATCAACCGGTAAAGTTTACCAGTGAGGTTGTGTTATTACTTTTTCACGTCGATGATATGTGGGTTGCAGCTGATTATTCACCCGTCATGGGTACATAAGAGTGCGCTCTTGACCTGACTTGACCTGAAATCGTCCCATTTATTTTCACTGCAGTTTCCAAATCCATTACGATCTACGTGGACAGCGGACACATAAGCCCTCGGAATCCTCGGCAGGACGCATCGAGTCAGTCCGACAGACTATCAAATTGGTGCATTCTCTGTGTAGATGCCAGACTGAAAATGTCTTATCATAAAATATCCCGGTTACTTATCGCAAACAGAGGCGAGATCGCTTGTCGAATTGCGTGGTCAGCTCAGGTCTTTGGTTGCAGAACAATCGGCGTCTACAGTGATGTCGACATCCATTCTCTTCATGTTCGGATGGTAAGCGGTGCCAACGTGTTTTTTAAAACTTGTGTTGCAGACAGGCTTTTGTTCTGCCATTTTTGTTAGTGTTTTGCCTACTACTGAGGTCATGGAGTTTCGCAGAAAGCTAAGAGATTTATTACGGCTGCCCTCATCGATCGCGACACATTGCCGTAAGATAGTGGGTGGTTTAGGTCTAGCAGATGGTACAGAGCCTGACTGGATTTTCCGACAGCAAACATTAATTAGTGCTCTCCAACATTTCTCGTCCCCCATCCCCACCATATATGTGCAACACTTCATATTTTACAGAAGAGTAGTAGGGGGAGTTGAATGGTATAGGTAGAACTTCGTCACATCTAGGCTCACTCAGACAGCCGTCACAAGCCCGGAAAAGCACTGTACGCGCGTTTCATCCTTTCGGGAATCATCGGCAGTGCGCATTCCATCGGACCCTTGGTAAGGCTCGAAACCGCAACTCGACTGTTGCCAGTCCGTGGTTGAGACCACTGAGCTACGGGGGACGGCAACGACCTTCGTGAATAAGTTACTAGATGTGATATAGCGCCGCTCACTATCCACTGACTTGCAGGTTACTGCCGTGCAGAGGACAGGGTAGCCTCCTCACCAAGCGACGAGCTTACCAAACATAAGCCGCCAATTAACCTATGACATTATAAGCAGTTTGGTCTGCGTACTGAAGAAAAGAGTAGTAGGGGGAGTTGAATGGTATAGGTAGAAATTCGTCACATCTAGACTCACTCAGACAGCCGCCATATATATATATATATATATATATATATATATATATATATATATATATGTCAGTAGTAAAGACATCGCACTTTATCACGCTTTTGTGTAGTGTTTAACACTAAGATGAAGTCTAAATCTCTTTCGAATATCGCGAAGTCAGGTGTCTTAACCACATTTGTTCGTAGTGCATTCCAGTGGGAGCCAATTCCAAAAGAGTAACAATTCTTTCTACAATCCAAACTGGAGTGTTGCTTTATTAGTTTCAGGTGGTTGCCTCGGCTTTGTTTTTAAGGGACTAGGGACATTTTGAAGAGCCAAGGCGCATGCGGAAACGTTCAGCGCTACACGTCGGATCATCAGTAGTTTTTGAATAACCAACCCAGTGGGAACTATGTTGTGCGCATGTTTGGTGTTTGTCAGTTATTAACCTGGCGAAATATCCATTCCGGAAGAGTAACGGTGTGATTTATTCTCATTTTGATCACAAAGTTACAGAGGAACCGAGATATTGGACAATCGTAGGGAACTCAGGAGCCATAGTTTCTGAGATATTTGTGAACAGTCGTTTGATTTATTTACTCCAAAGAATTCGCCTCTAGATGTGTCTCTACTCTAACGCTTGGCGCATAGTATGTGTTAAAGCAACCACGACCAGGATGAAAGCCAATCTAGCTCTCAGTGATTCAGCTCTCACAATGACCAATGAGTCGTCTTATAATGCTACCTGAGAAATTTGCGGGCACTGTAACGCAGGATACGCAGGGGTGCCTTGCACTGTCGAGAATAAACAATTTATTTAGTTATTTTATACCCTCGGATAAATTCTTATGATCCTTTTTGAGGATGGGGATGATTGTGGACAGTTGCTAGTTTGAAGGCACCTCTTCGGTGTCCATCTGACGTTAGAGGGGCGAGCTCGGCCAACAACAATTCACACGTTTTTGCAAAGATGAAGGATCCTCTAACCCTGAAACCGTTATTTTTCAGCAAAACGAGTTCATTTCGAATCTTTTCCGAAGCTGTAGGCATGGCACCAACTTCCCACATGGTGTCAGGTGATTCAGTAAACAGCAGTGTTACAGTGGATTAGCCGACACTGCCGAAAACGATTTTATTATCCATCTTTTTCTGCTATTGTCCCACTAACTTAGAGGTTTCCTGGACCAGTGCTCGTAATGTGTAGAATCTACCCTGCTGTTTCTAGTATCGCGCTGGCTTTCTTCATCTCACGGATCTTTGACGTCCAGCGACTTCCCTGGTTAATTCCTAGACGTCTAATCAGTTGTAGTTTTAGGTCGTTAGTAGGTATCCAACTCGGATTCCCCACTGAGCTGAATATGTTTCCATGATTAATGCCCAACTGCAGGAAGATACTAAAGCACTGAACTACCTCATTGGTTATCCAACTGGCTAAGATCGTGATCTGATAGTGGGCTGATTTATTTAGGGTAGTGTTTTCGCTTTTTTACACAACCCTAATTCATTACTCCTCTATGCTTAGTAGAGGCGTTTCTCACGATCATCAAAATGCGTCAAAGTAGCCTTCGGCAATGTAACTTCCATATAATTACAGTTCTGATCGTAAGCATCCTTGCGACCCTGGGGAGTCTTTATTCTTGCACTTCTGTCAGATATCTTTTCTGTCTACCTATTCCAATCAGTTCATACATTTTTCTATTACAAGCGTTATCGATTCACACATGATATGAACAGACTTCTATCTGTCCATACAATTTAGGTTCTGTTCACTTGTCAACCTATCGTTTGGTTTGTTGTTTTAAACCTATCCCCCAGTTCTTACCCCCTGTTTGCGGTTTCTTTTGGTTCCCTTTCCACTTAACTGCTTTTGTTGTGACCTTATTCCTTCAATTGAGGTCTTCTAACTACTTAACCAATGTAGGCATGCTATAGCTGGTTCTGTAGGGTAGACCGAGGCAGAAAGTAACGCGGGGCAAGTTGCAACAAAGCTTTTTTCAGGATATTAACCGACACATACACCGTTTGTTTTCTACACCGAACATGCGACTGCGCATGTCGGAAGTTTTCACGTTACTATCAAGGCTGGATTTGCAATACCTGGACAGATAAAATTTTCATTTTTCAGGCTTGGTGAGTAAAATTTTCATTCTTACATTTCATTTCATAGACATTTTACTTATCAGTCGATTAGTCCAAGCTTTTAGCTTTTTTTATTCGAGTATCTGCAAGCTGTCATGTTGTCTGTTCGCTTGCCATGTAACGCAAACTTGTTTTCTGACCCGGGTAGGCGTGGGACACATTGTAACATGTATGGCGAGACACGTTGTAACATAAATGTGTTTCTTGCAAAACAATGTATAACTTATTGCCATTTTTTCCGAGGTAAATATGATGAGACACTAAAAAGAAAAACTGAAGGAACTGTACTCCGGAACAGTTTCATGCTGCTGCTCTTGAAGTTGAACAAGGGAAATCAATACGAAAAACAGCAAGAGCTCACCATCTTTGTCACGTCACTTTGTCTCGATATATGCAGAATACTTGTAAAAAGACCCAATCCTGTGGTTACAGCAAACATGCCCGTGTTCACTACAAAACAAGCGAACATATTGGTCAACTACATTCAAAAAACTCTGATTTACATTTTGGCCTAACATGTCAGGAGGCAAGAATGCTAGCTAACCAGTGCACATTGAAATATCTTGTCCAACGGCCTGAGTCATGGGACGCTAACAAATGTGCTGGAGAGGATTGACTTCAAAGCTTTCGTAGGACGCATATTATTTCTGTGAGGATAGCAGAAAACACTAGTCTTGCAAGGGCCATTGGTTTCAATCGTTCTGCAGTCAATTTCTTCTTTGATAATTTATTAAAATTATAACACATGCAAACTATTCCCCTGACCAAATGTATAATGTGGATGAAACTGGAATAACAACTGTGCCTACAGAAAACCGTATTCTTGCAAGAAAAGGAACAAGATCAGTTGGGAGAGTTGTTTCATCTGAAAAAGGCACACTGGTTACTTTGGTGTGTGCTGTCAATGCAGTGGGGAATGCAATTCCACCGATGTTTATTTTCCCACGAAAGAATTAAAAGGATCACTTCATTGCTGGTTCTCCTCCTGAATCTCCAGGCATAGCGAATGGATTTGGTTGGATCAAGGAAGATAAATTTTTTGATCATATAAAACATTTTATTCACTTTTCTCGTCCATCTTTAGCCATTCCAGTACTTTTGCTTCTAGATAATCACATTTCACACTTTTATCTCCTAGCAATTGATCTCTCTAAATAAAATTATATCCCATTACTTTCTATACCTCCTAATTCATCACATAAATTGCAGTCACTTGATAGAGTAATTTTTGGTCATTTTAAGACCTTTATTAATAACAGAGCCCATGCTTGGATGAGAGAAAATGCAGGCCGAGCAACGACCATTTATGACATCCCAGCCATTGTCGGCACCACTCTCCCTCAAGCCTTTACACCCGATAAAATAATTGAATCATTCCGATGCACTGGAATTTTTTTCAATTAACAGGGACAGTGTCAGACTTTGCTACATCTCTGGTTACTGAAAAAGTATTGCCTGAAATTGTGAGATCATCTTCTGCACTATCAGATACGGAACAAAGCAGCTCTCAATCGGCATAGTTACCTGGTACAACCCACGCTGCACCACTTAAGATCGCTACCGCAGAAGCTACACATTGTTCACTTGTTGCTTCAAGCTCTCAAGAACTGTCTCCAGCTGATGCTGGTCCATCAAACGCTGAGCACACACTTAGTCCTGAATTACTATTATCATATTCACATGCAGACAGAAGGACAAGTGGGGAACGTTGCAGAAAGCTAAAAAGTGCTGTTCTCACTGATACCCCCTTAAAAAGTATGTTATTAGGAAGGAAAAAGCAACCTGACCCAAAGAGAGATAAAGGCAAGGGGAAATTAACTATAAAACTCCACATAAACACACAGAAACAAAAAGATAGCGCAACTTCTGATTCATGTTCGGATGACGATGCATATTTCTGTCTCGTCTGCATGGGAAGCTACAGTAACAACCATCCTGGTGAGATCGAGATCCAGTGCTCAACTTGTGGACTCTGGGCTCATGAGCAATGTACAAATGCTGGCAGCCGAAACTTTCTGTTTCTTTGTCACAATTGTACTTCTGATTAGCTTTCCTGTTAAAATCACAACTTTTCTGCTTTTATGCAGTTGTATTTCACAACTAACCCCTTACGATGTTATACATTATCCCGGTACCCAAAGCACAAAGGAACAGAGAGGGTCACTCTACACAACTGTTTCCCCACATTTCTACACCCCACATAAAGAAAATGTTAAAGGTCCACTGTGTAGATTTATAGTCCATCTGTGTTGCAGTCGAATTTAGATTAAATGGGGCAATAAATAACTGAGAAATAGTAGATCACCTAAAAAGTGTTACAATCTATTCTACTACTCTACCGAGTAAGCCTCTTTGTGCACCGTCCAAATCGTTTCACTGTTTGCAGAACATCGCATGTTTTCATAGCTTCTGTGGTATATGCATGAATAGACTATGCATTTGGTGGTAACATGCTTTTTTTCTCCTTATATATCCATGAGGTTTTTCTTTGCCTATTTTTTAGATGGATGAGTCATATCATATTGGACCACCACCTGCACGCGAAAGTTACCTTAACATATCCAAGTTGATTTCTGTAGCTCGATCGGCTGGTGCCGATGCTGTGCATCCTGGCTACGGGTTCTTATCAGAATCCGTTGAATTCGCAGAAGCTTGCACGAACGCCAGTCTGATTTTCGTCGGTCCACCCGTCTCTGCCATCCGTAATATGGGAATAAAGAACAAGTGTAAAACGATCATGGTGTCAGCTGGTGTTCCAGTGATAAACGGTACGCCTAATGTGCCTTATTCTCTACATTCATTTCACTTACGGATCCCTTAAAAACGCTTCTCCACCGTAATCTATGCCTACTTGATCCATGTTCCACACTTTTCTTTGGCTATTACTGCTTTTCGTATGAGCGTTGCATTTCTGAACAATGTTGAGCCTCGGTCCTGAGTACCTGTTTCCTCAATGCATCGGTAAACATCCTGGATGTTGAAGTCGGCTTCTCATACAGCTGTGCATTATTTTCGAATAGTACATTTATGTGTATTCGTCTAGTGGCTTATCATAGCGGTTAGGGATTCGTAAACTGACCGTTCGTTTGATTTGTGGCTGCCACCAAGCCACAATTCACCTTTAATTAAGTCTCGGTCACTGGGGTTCCGTTCGAGCGGATGCCAACCTACAGTGACGCTTGGCCGAACATTTTAATTCCGTTCAATTGGCTCTCACCGTCCACTTGTTTGCGCTGCGAACCTAACTACCCGCACTGGTTCGTCCAATTAGATCCACCCAGCGAAATGGAAGTTTGCCTTGCGATTCGACACTTGAAACGATTCAAGGCTGCCGACTCAGACGGACCTTCCGGAACTCTTCAAAAATACCGGCGCAGTTATCATGCGCCAGCTAACCTCATTGTTTTATTTATTTTTTATTATTATTTAACCTCATTGTTTTCCAAAATCTGGCATGAAGCAAATGTGCCTTGTTCCTGAGTCAAAAGAGTGCTCGCACTTCATACACCAATCACCGGGGGATTCGTCTCATTTCGGTTGCCTCTAAGCTAATAGCATCCATTCTACTCCTTAGACTATCCCCGATTCGTGCATCGCAGTATCGGGAACATCAAGCTGGCTTCCGTTCTGGCTGTAAGTGTTTGGCTCTGCACGCTCCGCCAAATTCTGGAACACTGTCACCTCTACCAGAGGCGGCGTACCATTGTTGCATTCTTAGTCATCCCTGCAGCATTTGACTCGGTTGATCGAGTTGCGCTATGGCGTACGCTGCCATCCTACGCGCACTATTCATCCATGTCTCCGGTAACGTGAGCGTCTATGGCACGTTTTCTTCCTTCTTCGCTGTCAACAGCCGTTTACCACAGGGCTGCTCTATATCCATGTTTTTGGTGCATTTTGCGATTGGAGACGTCCTGTCGAGAATTCTGGTAGGTTATTAACATTTTTCTTCTGCAGCTACCACCGGGCAAACGAACGACCTTTACTTTATTTGATGATAATTCACAGAGCATGCAAACGATTCTAAACTCTCTGATGGTCGAGGTACCTAGGTCCTGAATGTCCTTCGCCTCGTCGAAGTATAAAGTGCTGCTCCAGGATTGGCACTCTCCGGTTCCCGTGCTCACTCTTGAAGGTACACAACGTGAACACGTCGATAGGCTTGTATACCTGGGCAATTACATGTCTGCTGCTGGCGCTATCAGCAAGGAAATTTCTTCCCGCATGGCCAAAGCCCTGTCGGCGTTTGTCAACCTGCAACACGGCGTCGTTGAGATGTCTCCCTCTTGGTAAAAAGTCGTGTTTACAGTGCCACTGTTCGGGCAGTGTTGCTAGATGGCAGTGAGTCCTGCCGGCTCACTTGGATGATATGCGTCGGCTCTTGTCCTTCGATAATAAGTGCTTGAGGAGTGTTGCTCGTGTGTGGTGGCAACAACATACATGCAACCGTAAACTTAGACGTCGTGTCTTTGGGAATGTGAGTATTCCGTTTGACAAGCTAGGTTCACTGCGTTCTTTAAGATGGCTTGATCACATCCTGTGTATGTCGGCTGAGCGTTTGTCCCATTGCGCCCTGTTCGCTCGCGCAGGACTCGGCTAGAATAAACCACCCGGTGGTTAGACGTCCACCTGCTGGCAGCATATGAAGTCGTTTAATTCACGTCTTAGTGCCGTTAGATCCACATGTCTGACTGGTTGGGGACCAATGGAAGAAGAGTGCCGGTGACTGAGAACAATTCTTGTGCCAGCCCGATAGAAATCAGTGGAATATCTGCGTACATGCTTGTTTAGATTTAGTCGCTTAATACTTAATTGAAAAAGACAACGAGCGAGAAAATGACGTGCGCGAATGTCGTATACGCTCACTTTCGTAATAATAACCAGTCTGCTCACTACCTGCTGCTGCGTCCAACCCAGTTGGGAGGAAATCAGAGGCAACTTGGCTAACCAGAGAGGATTTATTAGTGTTATTCATGGTCAGATTTCTAACTCAAACATACGCCATCACACTGACATTCTGGCTGTAAGCTTCCACCTCTGTGTGCCAAGTACGCTTGTTGTCTGGCGTCCTGGCCAACTCGTATACTCAGCCAGGCTTGACGTTTCCGGCCCCTTGGTAGTTTGACGCCTCAAAACTTTTCTCACATGCCGCGGTTGAGAAATCTTGGTACGACGCTTACACGTCTGACTAGGTGTTCGATCCGGCTATCCCCCGAAAGGCTTTCTTACTTGTTGCGGCTCATATATCTTGGCATGGCTCATACGACGTCTACGCGTATGACTGAGTTAGCCGACTTGTTCACATGGCTAACGAGCCGCCAAAGTGCATCCTATCGTTTGACCGTTTTCCCTCTCCAACAGTGAAATAACAGAAACGTTCAGTTTTTCTTATCGCACAATAGCTGAAGTGTGTTGTGCCCCAATGATAACGGTGCGGCAATTTCACCTTTTATCTTCTCTCGATTTCAATGCTTTTGTTTTGTTGTGTCTATTCTTTTGACTTTTGCTAATACATACATGCATCTCTTGTGAGCTCAGTGGATTAGGGGCAAATGTGTTCGTATTAAAACCACGGTGTCTCGGATTCGATTCTAATTGCTGAATCAAACGAGGGCGATATGCAATGTTTCGTTGCCAGACTAAGCTGCATCATCATGGGTGCGGTTTCAGACGGCTGGTTCGTACAGTCGCGCAAGCTACTACTAGTTTTCACTAGGTTCAAGAACTAGCCTACGAGGCTCTGCGAACCAGGCACTTGAATCCATACTGATCAGATCACGAACCGTATAGCAAAAGCTCGAGGCGCTTATGCTAACCTTCGCCACTTATGGCGCCGGCGCGACATTACTCTTGCTTTGAAGGGTAGAGTGTACAATGCAGCAGTACGTTCGACCCTACTGTACAGTTGTGAAACCTGGCCGCTTAAAGCAGCGGACCTGAAGAGGCTAGTTACGTTCGACCACCGGTGCCTTCGTAATTTAGCTCACATCTGGTGGGAACACCGCGTGAGCAACGAGCGTGTCCGACGCCTTGTTTATGGCACAGGAAAAGGAACTGAACCGCTCAGCACCGTTATTTCACTCACCAGGCTCCGATGGCTCGGCCACGTGTTACGCATGCCAGCCCACCGAACCCCGCGACGTGTGTTGTTTGCGCGTCGAGGGTGTGGATGGAAGAAGTGGAGGGGTGGCCAAGCGATGACTTGGTCCAAAGGAATGAAGGCCCTCACTTCTGAGCTGGCCTCGGTTGGAGCGTCTCGGCTCCCTGGTTGGGGTCCGAAAGACGATGAACACGTTTGGTTGGACACACTTGCTGATATGGCTAGGAGCCGACCTCAGTGGTGTTCGTGCTGTGAGTTTCTTTGTCCCACCCCATCCCTCTTAGCCTCCCCCTCCAACCACGATCTCATTGTTTAACCTTAAATAATTTTGCATAGTAATTTTTTTTGATGCACAGTAGCCGGCTGGTAACTTACCGGAACGATGCCCATCCGTTACCGGTAGCTCAGCCGGCTTGCCCCAGTTAAATTCTTTTTTTCTCCTTTTTTCTGTGTATTGCGGCACAGTAGCTGAGGTCTTCCCCACCTCTAGCTAACGTGTATGATGATGATGATCCATGCTGATCATGTCGCTTAGTCTGGTGACGAAACAATCGATCATTTCGGAGGGCACCGCACTCTCCACATCCACACTCCTAGCTACTGATATTTTCAAATATTTCAACGATAAAATTAATCGCGAAGCGAAGTGCTAAAGCGAGCCGAAGTGCTTCAACAAATGATTTACTCGTTTTCCATAGGACACTTTATACATTTGTATTCCGAGCATACATAAGACAATTCATACATCAAATTACATGTTATCTTGATTTTTATCAACTCAAGCAATCCACATCTGATTTATCCTGTCACGTGCACATTTTCCAAGTTGTCACTGAAACCTGCATTGTTGTTTCTATAGTCCGTCATGTCGCCTGTACAAGCCGCTTAACCGTTTCCCACTAAATCCGCAACCGGTGGCCGAAGAGATGAGACACCGCCTCTCTTGTCACCCGAACGTCACCGGTTCGAATCTACTTGGGAGCGAATAACCTCGTCATATACATGGCTCGCGCGTGACTGAAGTTGGTCACTTGGCGGCAACGTGTAAAAACGGCGCTCTGACGTAATGCTGACGCCTCGGGGACTTTCTGCACACATGGATATTGTCGTTTGCATCCGTTGTTGGCTTATATTTTCACGAACAATTATATGCGCACCTTCCCTCTATGACGGAATATATGGGCCTATCGATTCTTGTGTAACGAGCTCTTGCCGTAGCTTTAGAATCGTTCCCTACTGTTCCTTTCTGCTCCCCCTCCCCATTCGGAAACTTCTCCGTCGCATACGATGTACCAGCCCTCCTGTATCATCCATCTTTGTTTTCGTGTAGAATACCCAATTTCTCCATCCCAGAAAAACCCAGTCTTTGAGATTACAGTTAACTGTGGTTTTCAGTATGTTCTTCATCAAACTCATTGCAATAGTGCGCTAACTGAACCTTACCATTGATTGAGAGTTCGCTCGCTCGACATTGCGATGACAGTGGACACGATTAGCATACTGTAATTTACTCAATCAAATGAACATTGCTCACATAATGCAACAGCCATAGCATCCCGTGCGCATAGGACCACAGTCCGAAATCGAACGCGATTTGTGTTGTGTTAGTACCTGCCCCCATTATACTAACGATTTAATTCACCTAATTGATTGATTGCTACCTTGTAACATCTTAAAATGAATCTAACATGGGTCTGTTGAAAGATTACTCGAAGCAACTGTTCGCTCTAGGCTTATCGCGTATGTTTTTCCTTGGGATTGCTAACCGATTCCATCAGATTGCACACACTGCTTGTTGTGCGGTGCATCCAACTATTTATTTACTCGACCGGATTTAGCTCCATATCTTCCTCATTTTCAGTTTAATAATCGGACACTAATCACTGAAATTTGCTGCGTCGTGTTTCCAGATATTACGTTCTCATCATAATAGAAGTCATCATTAGTTGGACTTGATCTCGTGGTCATACTGAACTACTGAATCCCCATCCACAGCACTTCGGTCGAATTCACTTTTCTGCAATCTTGGTTATCGCTGCGAATGGAAGAGCTGCGTTATCCACCTCGTTCGGTGCAGCCCACTGCTTACTACTGTACTCTCATCGAATCGGTCTCCTTCCACTTTTTGATAGCGAGCGCATGTATGTTTTCGGTTGGCTGATACGGTTGATCCATCTGTTACATCTTAATGTTGGCATTGTTGGGCTGCGTCATGCATTTAGCCTTCTCTCAACATACATTTTTTGTCCTTATACGGCATTAAATGTGTATTCATAGTTTTTCTCTACATCTTCATCACATGCCCAGCAAGTTGCTCGTCAGTTGGCTCCACATTTATAGCTAAGAGAACTGCCGGTACTACTCGGCGATCCTCAACTCTCCATTGAACCTAGTGTTTCTCCACATTTTACCTCAATAGGCTACCACGGCACTGACCAGTGTGATGCTCGGCTGTTTAGCGAGGCCGAAAAGATTGGGTTTCCCGTCATGATCAAAGCCGTAAGGGGCGGTGGTGGCAAAGGTATGCGCATCGCCCTTAATCCCGAAACATTTTTTGAGGAACTAACTGCCGCTCGACGGGAATCACTGAAAGCCTTCAGCGACGACGAAATGCTAATCGAGCAGTTGATTACCTGTCCTAGACATGTTGAAGTACGTGATTCGCTCTTTTGTATAGCTTGGGCTATATTATAAGCACTTTTGCTTTCTAACCTTTCTTGACATCAACTTAATTACTTTTTGTTACCGTCAGTGCAAAATACGACCTTGAGACGCACCTCCGTTTCTCTATCTGTTCGCGGCTATTTTGCGCCACTTTTAGGCGCATGGGAGTACGTAGTTCTGAATCCATTTCCATCAGTGCGGAACTTTATTTCCACCCTGCATTGTTAATTACAGCAACAACTTCAATAAATGCTTTTCAATGGCACTCATTCCACTTTGTTTTAATGAAAGACTAACCGAGTTTGGCTGCACCTCGAGTTCTTTTCTACTACTGTCCCCAAATCACACCTGCTTTTCTTTCCGTCTCCCCACAATCATGTTTATGTCGTGGTAGCTCAAACCAAAACAAATACAGATGGATACCGATAGAGACCGGCGACAGGTTGGTCCGATTTAGGGCCATCGATCTATCTAAGCATGCAATTTATTCATGCTCTCCGCGTCTGCAACTGAATGTAAACCCCATACCACTTGTTTAGTATGAGTCCCGTTTGGAACCCCGTCCGCGTTTTTATCTTGCTATGGTTTTCCGTCTCCCCACTCTGTCACTTCATCAGAGTGTTATACTGATTCCTCGTTGCTTCACTACCGAGTCTCAAAGTCAAAAAAGCGGTAACACATACACCCGACCCATCAGTGTAAAATGACACCTTATAGGTAAGGTGCATTTGCTTGTCCAAAGTAAAAAGTAACACATAGGGAACGGGTTTTCCATGGCTTCTCCATTAAACATCATGCCGCCGATCATCTCTGAGATGCCCTAGCCTTGAGAGGCTGTTTTGTTTAGAAAGAACCAACGATCAACCTTTTGCTAGCTAACGAGCACCTCTTTTCGCGATGTCCTGAACTGAGCTAGCGCTTCCCACTGATTTGAATGCCGTCATACTCGTTTTAGTTCCTAAGGCCGCTGCGGATTTGTCTTTGTTTTAGTTGATAACATTAGTGAACACAGCCGTGTTGTTTACCATTGTGTGTGTTTGCGGGAAGCGATTATGCTCCCAAGATGATGATGGCCGCGTTTTAATACCAGCTAAACATTCTTGTAACGCTCAATTCGTGTATTGTCAGTGCGCTCCATTACTACTGTAGAATGGCACACTCACCCCACACACCTCGTTCAGATGACCTCCTGATCACCGTTATGAGTACACTTGTTGCGGCTGCTGTCTTTTTGTGACACTTTTGCGTATGACGCGGAGCTAGGACATTCAGCACTCAGTACATGCTCTTTTGGACGCTCCTCAAGTGGGCCGATTGTTTCATACTCTCCTGTTGCTTTTTCGCCCAGGTGCAAGTTTTCGGCGATCAATTCGGCAATTACCTGCATCTGTGGGAACGCGATTGCAGCGTGCAGCGCCGTCATCAAAAAGTTGTGGAGGAAGCCCCAGCTCCCGGTTTGTCTGAATCTGTGCGCAAAGCCATCGGTGAAGCAGCTGTTTCCGCCGCTCGTGCTGTGCAGTATGTGGGTGCAGGGACAGTTGAATTTGTTATGGACCAGCAACAAAGATTTTACTTCATGGAAATGAACACCCGGTTGCAGGTAAGGCTGATTGTTAACATCATCTGTTCGTGATACCGGCTTGATTAAAACGCGTAGCTTGTAATGCGCTCACATTGCATTTTGATAACTTATATTTGGTTTTGATGTACAATTAAGTGAATCGCAAAACGCTATATATATATATATATATGTTTGGCGGCATCCGGTTTCGGATTTGCCTGTCACTGTGGCCAGCCACAGGACGCCTGCGCCTACGGAGGGACCATGGGTGGCTTGCGCTGCACCACCCACAGCTCCATCCACACACCCCATATCCAGTGTAAACCCGAAGGAATAAGACCGAGAGGCATGTGGATGGGAGCCACGTTTCATCAACGGAGCCGGCCCACACTCCTTCACAGGCAAACACAAGCACACTGTATTTGAGAATCAAGCGCACACAAGACGGTGGCTGGACCGTAGTCCGCTCCACACTGAGTGCATGGAACCACTCTTTAATCCTAACACGGCCACAAGGACCGTGCACTCCGTCCCCTCCAGCAACGACCAACTGTCTCCTGGAGCCAGTATGGACGAGGTAGTGGGTAATAGACAGGTAGGCACCTTGTCAACATGCACATCAAGCGCAACCACACCGGGGAGATCAAGCAACAGCCAATCACTTAGAAAGATAACAAATAAAATAAATCGAGTAATGCATAAGGAAACGGTGACATAAATCTTAAATTAATGAGCATATGAAATAAGTTGTTTACAAAAGAATCCGAGATAAGTTCACGAGGTCAGAAAGTATATTTTACGGAAATGCCACAAACACGAAAATGTTATCGAAATTAACTACAATTGGCTTAAGCGAAGTGTGCAAGTTTATAGAAGAGAGTACAGGTAGACATTTATATGAGAAAGAAAAGCATTAGGATAAAATTGAAAACCCACCACCTGAAATAAAGAGACTTAGCATGCAAGCACGCGGTTAGTAAATCGAATGCAGCGTACCTACAAACGCTGCGCTGGTTCTGCCTATGTTCTCTGCAGGACCCGTCGTCGCTTCGGTAGTGGTCCCGAGTGGCCTCGCTCATGGCTCACTACGCCTGCCTGACTCAGGCACTCGCGACCGCATGTGCTACAGCACCATGCGCTCGATGTCGATGGAGTACAACCTATCGGTGCTTGCCGCTTCCGCACTTGACACTTTTTCTCTGCATGCATGAGGTCTTTCTCCCGCACTTCGGCAACTGCCTTCGTGATTAGATCGCGCCATGCACGCCGATCAACCGCCTTGGATTCCCATGACCTGCAATCAAGATTAGAACGTGAGAGGCTCACTTTGATCATGTCCTGGTAACGTAACTTTGATTTCCTCACATGCCGCTTCCCAGTACTCAGCTGACCATATAAGAGTTGTTTCGGTATCCGCGTCGAATCCATACGGCTCACATGACCGAGCCACCTCAAGTTTCTCAGCAAAAGTTTGCAGTCCACTGCATACATCCCACTTTATCGCAACACTTCCGTGTCCGCAACTCTGTCGCCCCAACTGATGCGCAAAATGCTTCGCAAACACTGCTGATGGAACCGCTCGAGATATCGCACATGCCGCCGGTACATCGTCCACGTTTCACTGCCGTATAGAAGAACGGACATCACCATGGATTTGTACATCATCAGCTTCGTGCCAATGGTAAGCTGATGGTTGTTCCACACTCGGTACTCAAGCTTCCCGAATGCCGCCGCTACCTTCGACACGCGGATACGCAGCTCACTGTGTAGCTGCTGATCAGTCGACATCACACTTCCAAGGTAGCAGAAGCGGGAGGCGGTTTCCAATACTTCAGCACCAATGCTGATTCGCGGCAATATTGAAGATTGCACCTACGATGAAAGCTGAAAGAGACAGACAGTTTTGCTTGTGTTGATGGTGAGCCCGAATTTGGCTGCTGTCGAAGCCAGAGCACTAGTCATGTGCTGCAACTCATCCGCGCTGTGTGCAAACAACGCACAGTCGTCAGCAAACAGCAACATACGGATAGTTGTCTCACAGACTAGAGTTCTCGCACCGAAACGACGGATGTTCAGCAACCCACCATCAATACGGTGCTCCACACGTACACCGTAAGCACAAGACACCATAAAAGCACAATACATCATGGCATGAAGATATATATTAAACAGGGCAGGAGCTAAGACACAGCCTTGCTTCACACCAGAGATAACTGCAAAGTCATCCGAGGTCTCTCCACTCAGCTGCACCCTCGCTCGCATACCACTGTGCAGACATTCAATTAAACTTACAAACTTACGCGGACAACCAAACTTACCCAACACCAGCCACAATGCCTCGCGGTTCATCGTATCAAATGCCTTGGTGAAATCAACAAAAAGCGAGTACAATGGCTGTTGTCGTTCTCTGCACTTCTGCAACTGACGAGCCGCAAACACCATATCTATAGTGCTGCGACCCGAGCGGAATCCACACTGCTCTTCCGCCACGTTCGGTTCCACAACCTGACTGACGAGGCGGTTGAGCAGTATTCGGGCAATCACCTTGCCCACACAACTCAGCAAGTTGATGCCACGATAATTCGTGCAACATTGCTTGCTCTCTTTGCCCTTGTACAGTGGTAGCACAAGGGCATCCTTCAGCTCAGGAGGCACCTCCTTCTCAATCCATACACGTTGCACCAAGTGGTGCAGCGCAGTCAACAACGCGGGTCCGCCGTGTTTCAATACTTCAGGCGGGATCCCGTCGGCCCCAGAACACTTGCCGTTTCTCAGCTGAGCAAGTGCTCTCTGCGCCAGACTCGTCTTCACATCGTGCTGCTTGAGGCCGTTCAAGGTAGGCCAGTCGATCTCTGAACGATTGTTCAAGAGACAGTCAAAGTGTTTTCGCCAGATCTGCATTATGTCTGCAGTCTGTGTGCAGGTAGCGCCTGAACTACCATCGATCAGCGTCCTCAGCGACTCCAATCTCGGTCCATACACCGCTTTCAAGGAGTCAAAGAATTCCTTGTGTTGGCGGCGTTCGGCGTAGCATTCCATCTGCTTCACCTTCTCCGTCCACCATGCATTTTTTATGCGACGGAGCTCTCGGGTCAGTCGCCGTCGAAGTTGCGAAACTGACCTCTCTTCCCCAAGTCACTGGGGTCTGCGACATGTGCAGCAAATGCTGCATTCTTCTCCGACACCAATGCGCCAATCGTCGCATTGTTGTCATCAAACCAATCAGGCCGCTTACAGTTTGCACGCCCGATGGTCTCCTCGGCAGCAGCTGTCACCTGGTCGCGAATGTGGTGCCACAGGTCGCCCACTGTGGCTATGCAGTCCACATCACACAGGCGTGCAGCCATCGCCTTCTCCAGCTCAGTACGTTTCGCCCCAGTACCGAGGGAGAGAATGTTAAATTTACGCCGATTCACGGCGGGAGTGCAATACATAGATTTACAAAAATATATGTACAGTTTGGTGCGCACCAATTTGTGATCATTGCCACACTCAGCTCCACGCAGTACACGTGTCATGCGCACTTCACGCATATCACGCTGACGTACGATGACATAGTCGAGCAGGTGAGCGTGACCACTCTGTGGGTGCGTCCAAGTTGCTATATCACTCGCACTCAGTGCAAACCGAGTGTTCGTGATCGTCTGGCCGTGAGTGGCACACAGTGAGAGCAGCCTGTCACCGTTCGCATTCGCTGAACCAATGCCATGCGCACCGATAACATCTGTCCACACCGATGCATCACGCCCAACGCGCGCGTTGGAATCACCCAGCAGAAATAGTCGGTTGCTCCTCGGCACAGACCGTATCACGGAGGATAGCTGAGTGTAGAATTGAGCACGCGTGTCATCAGGATAACACATGGTCGGACCGTACGTGCTTATAAAAGTGGCAAACTTACCTCTTCCGATTTGTAGGCGAACAGTCATCAGTCGCGCGGTGATGCCTGTTGGTTCAACTGCGAGCTGGCCATGGCGGCGATCGGATATTGCAAATCCGACCCCATGATCACGTGGTGCTGAGGCGGCGGCGTTGCCCACCCATTAGAATGTGTAGCCAGCACCTGCTTCATGCAACTTACCTTGCTCAGCGAGCCGGGTTTCACTGAGCGCCGCAATAGCGATGTGGTAACGCGCCAGCTCCATCGCGACCAGTGCAGTGCGTCGCTCGGGGCGCTCACTGGAGTTCCGATCCAGTAGTGTGCGCACGTTCCAGCACCCGATGCTGAGTGCTTTGCGCGCAGGCATACGATTGCATTGGTGGGCAATCGCACGCGAGGTGGTCGTTGTGCTTCGGAGGTTTGCTTGAGGGACTCCACCCGGAGCCTTTGGCTCAATAGCCTTACCCACAAGGCAGTGGGTGGTTTGGAGTTTTGCTTGAGGGACTCCGCCCGGAGCCTTTGGCTCAATAGCCTGACCCACAAGGCAGTGGGGAGCAAATCCAGCTCGGGAATGTGATTGCAGAGACAAATTGGGATCTGCTTGACGGCCGTCACACGCAGCCTTTGAGGTACTGGAACGATTTATATATGTTTTGCGACCGTAGTAGGATACACCTGCGACTACGGCCAGACGCAGGTGGGTTTTGGCGGATTTGCACCAATTTGACCAGGGGCTGCCTGGCTTGAGGCGGGCAGTAGCAAACCATTGAACACCCGGAGGTGCCCTCCCACCGTCAGAGACAATGCGTGGCGCTCGTGCTCTACGCCAATCGAGCTGTGAGCTTATAACCCGTAGACCTGTTGTCTCCCATGGCTAGGTTTTACGGGAAGAGGGCCATCGACCACTTCCTAACCTCCGAAGAGGATGGACTAGGATACTAACAGGGCGCCCACACCTGACAGGAGAACGACTCGGTTCCTCAGCCAAAGCCTTCGATTAAATGTACACCCGAAAGGCAGCGGGTCTAGCACATGGTCAGTTCACTGACTCATGCGGATTGGTGTCCTGGATCTTAGCAGGGAGAAGGGCGAACCCCAACTCCCACCCAGCGATCGCCACGAGGAGGCGTCCAGGACATGAGCCAATGGCGCAACAGTAGCAGCAGTGGGTAGATCATCTGTCAGGATCTAGCCACCACCAGCCTCAGCGCACCATATATCTGCCGCCGGTATATATATATATATATATATATATATATATATATATATATATATATATATATATATATATATATATATATGGCATCCACTGGATAGGAGTAGGGTTATGCCCTTTTTGATAAGAGCCAGGACATCCGCGTGAATCGATGGACTTATGACGCACTTTCCGCTTCCTTTCGGAAACACATTTTATCGAAGTCTTTAGCTGTGGACCTGCCGTGGCCAGTATATCAGTTCAACCATAAATCATGGCATCCTACAACCATACATGACTTCATACTCCACCGGTTACGGTCCGTCGCAACGAGACTGGACATTAACGTGGTGCGACGGTTTGCGTATCTCTTTGACCCATTAAGCTATACTGGGTGATGCCTCCAGGCACCTTGAGAGCTAATCCTACCATGTTGGTCAATGGTGAGAGGTCAAACAAACTCAGTCTTCTGGTCCTCCATGTTGGGGGTTTGAAATGCGATGACATCCATTTCTGTAAAACTAATTCCTTGCCACCTCCCCGCAATTTTGCGGACAGGCTTTTGAGCCAAAGGCTTTGGATGAGGACCCTAATCGTCCTCCTGTCTAGTTCTGGGCGCTCTGGCAGTATCTCAGTCCACATACAACCATGACATTTCCTTCGATCATAAACTTCATCCTGCATCAGCTGCCGCGCAGATTATCAAGGGTCGCCTTATCTGCTGCATGCAACAGGACGGATAAGCGAATACTTGCTACTGCTGGCGCCTCCCTTCTTTCTTTTCTACCGGTTTTTCTTACTCCCATCCCGACCCCCATTACTAACCTTCCTTCTATAAGTCCCAGATTAATTGACAGCAACCGAAGTGCCACTGGAGTAGAACCATGTGCAGCCACTATCCCACAGCACCTATCGGACGCCTATCGGCAACAGTCCCTTATAAGGCCACGCTGTTCCGTTTTCATGGCGACGTTCAACGTTCGCACTCTAAGGCAAATAGGTCAACAGGCTGCACTCGCACGCACCTTGGACACACTGGGTATTGATGTGTGTTGTGTGTCCGAGGCTAGGATCAATGACCCTAATGGGGTTGTTGAATTAACTGCACCCGGCTCATCCTCTCGTTATTGGTTTCACGCATCCGGAGACGCCGATACAGCACTCACGGGTCAAGCTGGTGTAGGTATCATTCTAAGCTCCAAGGCTGGGCCGTAGTTGGTTGACTGAATTCCGGTGAACAGCTGTTTATGTGCAGCCCGTTTGACGACATCAGCTAAGGTTGATTCACGAAGTAATACAAAACGTTGTTTGTTTGTGATTTCCGCTTATGATCCCACCGAATGCAGTTCTAATGCTGTCAAGGACACACTCTATCACGAACTGAACGCGCTGCTACGCAGTGCTACTGGTTCAGATATTATAGTACTTGCAGGGGATATGAACGCACAAGTAAGGCGTCTGAGCTCTTCAGAAGCTCAGCTGGGTGGTAGTTATGGGCTTAACTCCGAACGGACTGACTACGGTAAGCGTCTGCTACAAGTGTTTGCGTAACACCAGTTGTTTCTTATTATCAGTGCTTTTAGACCCATTGGTCGCCGAAGTGCCACTTGGCGTCCTCCTGTGGCTGGCCAGCAATGAACCCAAATTGACCACATAGCCATACGTTACAGGTGGCGTGGTTCCATCCTGCATTGCCGCTCGTACTGGAATACCTACGTTGACTCTGATCATACCTTGTTACGCTGTCGTTTCTCCATGAACTTTACTGGGATGCGCATCAAGCGTCCCCTACGATTGGCAACTGAGAAATTGTCTCAGCCCTCGGTCAGTCAAGCCTGTCAAGACGCACTGCGTACCGAACTTTCGGTGTCTTGTTCTGATGACACTGAGCTTCAGTGGAATAGGATCTCGGCGGTCATGCAAGACGCAGAAGCGTCTGCTTGTCGCACTATCAATCGTCACGGTACCAGTCATTGGATATCCGAGAGGTCGGTGAATCTGTTGGAATCCAGAAGACACCTCGCGGCTGGCTCTGAGCACTATGTGACCAGACGGGCTATTAGGCGTGAACTAAAGCCGAGCCTGTCTGCAGACAAGGAAGCCTGGTGGGCCAGTCGGGCTCACGAAATGGAGGAGGCAGGAGCAGTAGGCAATTACCGGAAGCTCTTCCAGCTAATCCACACAACTGGTACCGGAAAACCAGGAGTCAGTGAAACAATCAGAGACAGCGCTGGTGCGCTGATAGACAATAAGGATCGTCGTATGGCTCGTTGGGCGGAACACTTTCAATATCACTTCAGATGGCCCCTTGCTTCCGGACCTCTTCCTACTCAGGTGATGCAGGACGAGCCATTGACGGTTAGTTTAGAGCCTCAGTCGAAGGCCGAGGTCCGAAACGAGATCACACCACTCAGTGGTTTTCGTGTCGCTGGCCCGGATTCCCTCCCACCTGCACTATTTAAGGATGGAGGTGAGGTCCTCTGCAAAGCACTGACCTTCCTATTCGAACGTATCTTGAATAAAGAGAGTGTCCCGGCTGATTGTAGCGAATCGATTATAGTGGCAATATACAAGAAGGGCAGTCGCACAGACTGTTCTAACCACAGGGGTATTAGCCTAACGCCAGTTGTGACGAAGTTATTGGCCTCGATTATCGTTCGTTGCCTCACTGCAGAACGGGAATCTCGGATTATTGAGGAGCAGGCCCGTTTCCGCCCAGGACTTGACTGTATAGACCATACATTCACTTTGCAGCAGGTGCTAGAGCAGCGCCACGCATACCGCAGACCGACAATCGCTGTGTTCCTTGATTTCGAGAGTGCGTTCGATTCAGTCGATCGATCGATTCGGTTCGAAATACTTGCACGGAAAGGTGTTCCCACGAAATATGTGAACATCCTTCGTGCTCTATACTCGAACACTACAGGCCACGTCAGGGTCTACGGTGGCCTATCGGATAGCTTTCCGACCACAAGTGGCGTTCGTCAGTTTATTCCGATTTCCCCGTTTTTGTTCAATTTCGTCGTGGATTCTATCATGGAGTGTTCCCTTGCGGAATCTCACGATGTAGGCATTGAAAGGCTGCCTGGTGCAAGGTTAGTTGATCTAGATTATGCAGACGATATCGTCTTGCTTTTCGACGATGTTGGGGCGGCACAATCAACCCTGAATAGCCTGTCTAGAATGGTCCCACTATATGGTATGCACTTTGCACCTTCAAAGTGCAAAGTGTTGCTGCAGGATCACCAGCCATTTTATGACCCCTTGACGCTTGCTAACGGGGAACTCGAGGTGGTTGATCATTTCACTTATCTCAGCAGCTGCATCAGCAACGATTGGCGCATAGAAACTGACGTCAGCTCACGCATTGCAAAGCCAGAGCTGCCTTCTTGAACCTGCGGTATCCTTGGCGACAGAAGGGGATTTTCCTCCGTCTGTAAGGCCGTGTATACAAGGTCACAGTGAGGGCCGTTTTGCTGTATGGTAATGAGACCTGGCCCCTTCGGTCTGAAGATTTGAGTCGCCTTCAAGTCTTTGATCATCGTTGTCTGCGAAGCATTGCTGGTGTCGGATGGCGCCAGCGTGTCCGAAACGATGTGCATAGTTGAGTACTAGGTAGTGATACTTATGCTAACTCCCTAGAACAACAGAATAAGTTGCATTGGCTTGGGCACGTGCTAGGTATACCTGGTCACCGCTTACCTAGGGGGGCCTTGTTCACTCTACCAGGTGTAGGGTAGCGCAAGGACCGTTGTGGACAGAAGTTGACTAGGCCGCGGAAAATGAAGTCACTGACGACCAAACTGGGTGCCGTTGGTCCGTCTCGTCTTCCGGGCTGGAGTCCACGTGACTCGCCTTGTGCTTGGCTCGAGACTTTACAGGGCATGGCTCGCAGTAGACATCAGTGGCGCGTCTGCTGCCGTCTCCTTATCGGATTGTCTGTTTAAAGTGTGTTGTTATCTGTGGGGTAATAGCTGGTTATGACGCTGGGCAGTGAAAGCCGCAAGGAAGCTGTCTCGCCGATGCCGCTTTATGTTTGCACGATAGCCAGCTGTTTGTGATAGTACGTTGTCTACACACCCTGAATGTTTGCTTAGGGCATTAAGGTTTTCAAGGAAGTCCCCCTTCTCTCTATCTTATTATTCTTTATTTCATAAGTCCTCTTGGTTGTATGGCCGCAAAGCATCAGTTCAAATGGCTGATGTACTGCTGTTGATGATGATGGTTACGGTCCGTTCATCGTCCTGTGAACATCATGCGTATTTTTCCCTTTTCAAATGTACAGATGCCGCTGACCTCTTCTGCTAATGAGTGCGATTTGTATTCATTGGCCTGTTTCGCAACTTAATATCCATATGCGATTTTTAGCTATAAATGCCTTGTACTTTAAAGCTGGCATCATGTACCTGTTTCCTCATCTTGACCCTAATGTTACACGTCGCCAAACTGTCTCGTATTTCGTTGATCAGTGATTGCTTTCCTTGGTTTTTGGTGTTGGTTAGCGACCCCTTAGGTCTACACACCTTAATTGACTTTACATTTCCGGTGCACAACCTAATTTCATACCATTTTCGGGTTTGACCAGCCGGGTATTTTAACTCACTTGCCAGGTTGAACACCCTATCACTGAGGCTATCACTGGAATCGATCTGGTGGACTGGCAACTAAGAGTTGCTAGTGGTGAACCACTTCCTATTACGAATCAAGAGGCGGTTCCACTGAATGGACACGCTTTCGAAGCCCGGATTTATGCGGAGGACTGTTCCGACCCCCTGCATATGTTTCCCGTTTCGGGAAAATTGCGGCTAATCCGTCTTCCTTCCAATCTCGTCAACTTCATTCCCGCTAATCTTTCGACTCGTTTGGATATTGGTGTGACCTCTGGGGACGAAATATCGGTTTACTATGATCCACTGATTGCCAAGCTAATTGTTTGGGGCGAAACGAGAGCTGATGCTCTATCTCGTCTTCGACGGGCCCTCAGTGAATGCTGCGTTATCGGTTTGCCTACAAACATTTCTTTCTTACTACGTTTGATTCTGCACCCCGAGTTTATATCGGCAAAGGTGAGCGAAATCAACCTTCCTCAAATCATTTCATCACTGACTTAGCACCTAATGTCCAGCGGCTCTTCCTTAACCACCGTGTTTAACAATGCTCGTCCATTTGTCCAATTCATTTTTCCGCGGAACTTTTTGTTTCGTTTCTAACATGTATGTGTGTCCACCCCAACACTGGCCTGGTATCTGTCTTTCGTCTTCGTTGCAATTCGGCTCTAATTGCTGCCTCGAGCTCGTCCCATCCCACGCTTGGTGTTCAACCCGGAATAGTCTGTTAATTTTGGCGACACTGGGAATTTCAATGAAGTGCCTATCAGTACGCTGGGCCTAGATGTCATGACGCGTCACCATGTTAACGATGATAATTAGCTATGCTCGCTAAATTGGGGGGGGGGGCAATCCAGAGAAAGCTGAATCCAAAAAGGGTAGCTAATAATCTAGTGGAAAGCTTGTCAGGTAGTTTTAGGTGACCGAGCGCACATTCTAGTATATAGTTAACTTAATGGACCAGAAGCGTATGTCTTATCGCAAGTATTGGTGTATTAAAGGAATTTCTGTCTGTTTAGCCTCTCGATCCTCGAATGAACCGATTCTTACACTGCACGATGTTGTGTTGGGTGCTATCAAATTCCTCGGTACTTATTCATTCTGTTTTTGGTGGTGCCTGATCAAATTCACTCATGCCTGCTATGCGCTTGCTTGATGCTCCAACGCGTTGGGTCGTCGGATGTGATATTTCAATTGTTTACACAGTTGTATCTACACCCGGGAACCGGAAACTAATTAAGTGAGGCAAACTCACCGGAACATAATTCTGCTCGAACTTGCTATGAAACAACTCTGTTTTGCCGCAGTTCTATGTACAGATGATCGTTTCTCATTTAGATACCCCGCTTGTTGGGACATTTAGCAATTTACTTATTTGTCTATGTATTTAATCCCCAAGACATATTTTGCGAGATCATGCCCATCAGAAACTTTTAGCTAATTCTTGGACACCACGTGACGCCTTTACTTACTCACAGATTCGTTGAATCTGCTTGGTATTGCTAATTACGATATTTGACCTAATTGTTCTGCACTTCAGCATACTTTACCCTATGTGGTGGTCAAGTTAGTTACTCTCGCCTCGTCCAATAAGTTTGGAGTGGTAGGTTTCTCCAATGCCTCCTTTTGTGCATAGACTGATGCATGTACTTTCGGCCATCAGGGAATCAACGATGGCCCCCTCACGATTGACCTTCTCTGGTATCTACTTGCGGACAGCTTTTCTCGTGCATGTTATCATGTGATTGACTTTTGTATGCATCAATGACTTTCCACTTGACGTTCCGTAGCTTTAAAGATCACAAGCCTGCCTTGTAGTCTGAGAGCGCGGGTTCGGGCCTGCGTAGGGACCGGGTCACCCTCGCAGTACCCTTAACCCACGTGCGACCGGTAGTGGTTACGCGGTAGCGAAGCGTCGGTATTGCGTGTCAGCGTACTGCTTATGCCTTCCGTAGTACCTGAGGGAACTGCTCCCTTGTGTTCTCACTAGAGTGAGATGAGAGTGCTTGAGGAAAACTTCAATGCATTACACAGGCAGGATACTATTAGGCTGCCCAAGCTTAGATAGTAGAATGATTATTCAAAAACCTGCCCGCAAGGCTTCGGAAATTCGGCAATGGGGGACAGGTTGTCGGTTTTAGGGAATAAGAATACACCCTCACTGCTACTTCGAACCTGGAGGAAGGGAAAATCCGATCGGATTAAATTCATTCAACCTGCAAATGCTGCTTTCCCTTTGTACCTATGTGTCTTTGGTGTCTGTCTGTCTCCCGGAGTTGCTTGGCTCCATTGGTCTTAGATTTGTTTAACGCTTGCCCCGTGTTTTCAAATTGTCTTCGACGTTTTTCACAAATGAGCTGATTCGTGTTTCCAGGCCGACAGTCCGAATCGATCTGCACCACTATGACCATTTGCATTTTGCTCATTCCGAGGGCGTCTGGTGGACGTCATGTAATGCGATACCAACACCTGCAGTAGTAAATCTCACGATGTATACCGGGATTATGCTCCCTGAAGCGCTGGAGATGCAAGCTGTCGTTGTCCATACGATATTCTGACTTCGATGCACGGCTCACTGTGGAGCACAATTTTCGTGACATCATTTTCGGCCACTTGGCTATGGTATTTTGATCGTTAGTATAGCCTGTCTTTCACAAGATTTGGGCTGCTCCCGCTGAAATAACTCAGCATTCTGAGTTTCTGCTCACTAGCTTCGTTTAATTTTCACTCTACAATCCCACGCAAACGGTTGCTTGTTATTTTGCTTGAGCTCATACCTTGCGGTGTGATGGCCATCAGCAATTGCGAACACACTACCAGTCTCGACGGAAATCTGGAAATGTGTTGCGTGTCTAACTCACCTCATGATTGTTCTATGCAAGTAAGTAGGAATGGAGTGAGGTTGCTTCTTGTAGTTCCCAATACTTTTTCTTTGCAACGGGGTAAAGAGAAGCTCTTTACAGCAAACACCGGTTAACTCTGGCAATGTGAGTCCATTTAGCGGATGGCCATTATTCATTGCTTTCGGCTCAGAATTTGGATCCCGGTCATTACAATCAGATGCACGAGTGCAGAATTCTTCCACCATCCGCGCTTCATGCCTTCTCTGTACTGCGCATGTGTTTTGCACAAGTGCAAGTCGACTACTTTGATGTGTATTGTTTGCCAATATTACGCCAAGTTGGACGAAACCCCGAGGTGTCCATCCAGTGGCATAGCAAAAGGCAGAAAGGCTGAATCGTTCGAAATGAGTTGGAATATTGGTAGCTCGGGAGGCTTGCTCAGTTGTTGTGGAGTTCTCCGAGCTGGGCAACTTGGTTGCAAACGTTTCGCCACCATTCGAGGTGGCATCTTCAGTGCGGGATTGATAGCAGTAAAGTAGCAGTAGCTGGTAGAAAGCAAAACCGAATAATAGATTATTGGGAATGGTGGCGAAACGAAACCAAGTTGCCAAGCTCGGAGAACTCCACAACAACTGAGCCTGAATCGTGTTGGTTCTTGTTGTCTTCCTGGATGGCATCCTTGGCTCCGGCCAACTCAGTGGTTATATAATACATTATCAAACATCGTGTAGTCCCCAAGTCAATGGCTCTCTTGCATTCATTTCCCGATTTCTTTCACTTTCATTTGTTACCGCCTTGCCTTGAATTATCATCGCGATTACTCTTATTATTGTTGTTATTATTAGTGTTATGGCAGCGTGAGTCAAAACAACTGGATCCACCCTATTTTAATGCACCTAGCATAATTCCTACACTTAAGTCAACCGAATGTTATTGCTATTCCACTTTAATTTTAGAACACGTGGTATGCCTACTTTGACCGCATCAAACTACATGGTTTCAACCAACAGCCATACGCCAGCCCTCGCTCGTCTGGACTTCGCGGGTCTACTGTTTTGAATGGATGTGCTCTGTTACCACCATAAACAACCATTGAAGCGCCTATTCTATGCAGTTCCAATTAGGGTTGTATTCTGTTTACTATGATTTCCCACAGTTGAATGTGCATGAAAGAGACCAATCGGCTTTCTATACGTAGGAATTCTTCACATCTAGACTCGGTCAGACAGCCATCACATGCCCGGAATAGCACTGCACATTCGTTTCCTTCTTTCTGGAAACGTCAGCGGGGCGCAGTCCATCTGACCCTTGTAGGGCTCGCATTCGCAACTCGACTGTTGCCAATCTGTGCTTGAGACCACTGATCTACGGGGACGGCAACGACCGTCGTGACTAAATGTGATATAACGTAGCTCACTATCCACTGACTTGAACGTTGCTGTCGTGCGGCCACTTTTAACCTACCTGCATCGCCTCCCACTGCGATGTGGTTATCTCTGAGGCCACTTTGACACGTAAACGGAAACTCACCTTTATATGTAGTTGCATCGTCACCGTCTATAAACTAACTACGTTTTGATGGGGACTGGGTCTTGTTACATCTGTCGTTTCTTTCGGGTTCATCTGGCGAGGTTTTGAAGCTGACCACTTTTATATAAACAGTTACCATCATTGAATATACTTATGTCACTGGACGCAAGATACTGCCGTCGTTCCTTCTTTCTAACCGTTTGCTTTACTTACCGGTATTTTGTCGCAATAACTACCACCTTTATTGCTCGAGTCGTCACAGTTCAGTCAGCATGACTATGGTCTAGGCTGACTTGAGACTTTCTGATCAAGCAGGATGGCTGATATTATCATTTTGAGTACACTGTTTCGGTTCCAGCGTGTCCATCGCTTAATGACGATGAAAAGCGCCATTCTATCTCTCACACACCATGGGTGGATCTCCACTATCCCAGTTGAAGCTCAATGAGGTCTGCATTTTCCGTCGCCACGTCTCTTCCTGCGCATTCACTGTTTATCTTTCCGCTACACTCACATGAAACCACTGTGTCGTGAAATCACCTATCGTGTTCTTCACCAGTTCTTTTCTAATTGTTCATCCATACAACAAGGACTGGTATATGTAAAAACTTCAGTTTTAAAACTAGCATTGGGTCCATGTGTTACGTATGTATGATTGCATGTAGGCAAGTATGTGTGTGGTTGTGTTGCTTGAATTCCTAAATGCGACACCGTATATGTAATTGATTTTGGTCAGACCGTCAGCGTGAGTAGGGATGAAATGATCTCTGACTGATATCCATGAATTGGGTAAGATCATCCGGATACGTAAGAGGCACTGATTGTAGGTAGTGGCGAATCACATCCGCCATGTCAACATGTTGTTAAACGGACATTTGTGGCTTTTTATAGGGAGAACGCTTGCCAGGCGAAAATCCACCACGTCCTGGAACGCTGCCGCCCAACCATTTGCTGGAACGGGGTAAACGCGAACCACCTAGCTGGCACCGTTGCAATTACCATGAAACGTCTGTACAATTGCACTTATTTGATTATGCCTCCGTGGGCATGCCTCGCATAGATGAGAATAATTATTTATTTATTTATGATTAATTCCTGTGATCGCATAAAATATGGGCTTTTTGTTCATTTTCTAATATACATCCGTTCTATTTTATGTGGAAACTGACCTCTGACACTTTGGATCTATAAGAACGTCTGTGTAGTTTCCTAGTTCCTATCACAACTACACGAGGTACTTTTGTGTACCGATTGATGACATTCAACCCGGACATGTTGAATTGACCTCTCTGAACCTCAGCTATTCGCGAGCGTAGAACCTACAGGGCGGTGTAAGCGGTGTTTAACAGATTGAGATTTATCGTTTTGTAAGAAGTTTGCTACGACTGTCCCGACTTACAAATCTGGCGAGCAACACTTGGATGGCGTGGTGGAATTACTCTTATTGCTTTCCTGACAGACTATTGTCGTATTACGGAGTACGTATGTAGACCTTACAGGTTGTCCATTTATCGTTGACCATTTTTAGGAGGAGCAACTTGCTTGGCATGTCGATCATCTCCTGATCCTCCAATGTTTGCTTTGCTACATCCTTCAGTCTCCACCGGCTTTCTGTCAGCCTATTTTGTGCACCGCATTTTTTTCACCTTCCCAAGAATTCCTCACTGTTGCTCCATATATCTTTACCTTGCGATGGCTATTGCAAACCGACTCACTTGTCCACTATTTTTATCCACAGGTGCACACTGGATTCATTAGCCAGCACATCAAGCAACTGCTGCCACCTACTCTTGACACTGCCAATCCTGATGGCATCTTGCAAACCTCGATACAATGTGCTGCTGTCGCTTGGATGTTTTTGGAGTCTCTACTATTTAACAGGAAAGTTAAATCACCCGACCACGATCTTTTGCGACAGCTCGCTGGTTTTCGAGTTAATCTCACTTACTCCAGAAATGTGCAACTTATTGACGATAGGGGTGCCACTGTTTGCCTACGTGTGTGCTTTCCACGAAACGACGGAGAGGCGTATCAGATATCCACCATATCGGACTCAAGCGGCCACTGCTTCTCTTCCGATCCTCTGTCAGTGAAATTGACTTATCTACCGAGCTCAGCTACAATACGTGATGAGCCAACAGAGTTTATGTTTAGCTTTGAAGTGTCCCACCTAAATTCATCTTTAGACACCCGTCGAACATTTAAAGCGTGTGTACTATATGACCCTGAGACGCATAAACTATATTTCTTAGATCCTGCTACTGGTGCTCATAAAACTTTCTTCCCAAAACCGCCTGCGTATCTACAAAACAAATCTTTCCAAGACTCCTCTATAGATACAAGCCCGTTGGTTTGTACCTCACCGATGCCTGGAATCATAGAACACGTATTTGTATCATCTGGAGACAAAGTCACCGCTGGACAATCTTTGTTGACGCTGATCGCTATGAAGATGGAATACACTGTTCGCGCAAAAATTGATGGCTATGTTGATGCTGTTGCTGTCGTCCCAGGAGACTCAGTTGCCTCTTCACAGCAGCTTGTCCGACTCAGGTCCACTTAGCTTCTTCTTCCTTTTTTCTATTCGAATTCAGTTAGCATCTGTTTATCCCTCAGTCAGCGTTTTACGCCTCCTTCTAGTGCTTTCATGAACGTATTCGTCGCGTGCCACAATCTTCCGCTTATCCTCATTTTTTATACATTCTAATTCAATTATTTTTCTACGGCCACCTCATCATTTGTTTCCTAATTGATGGTTACTGTTATTTTTCCAATACTTTATTTGTTAGCGAACATTTATACCATTTTATTCTATTTTTCTCCTGATTTTTATTGCCCTATCTCGTAAACGCACATGTGAAACAGTCACTTGCCGAATAAACATAAAAACCAAACGTTTGTTAGCCGTATTTTCTGTTTGATGTAACCGTTGAAGGCTTATTCGCTTCGATGTCTTTCATCAGGATGGGAGTTCAGTCATTATCCTCACCGCGTTCTGTTGGATGCTACTCGAGCTTCAGCCTGACCGGCAGTTTAATACGCCCGTTATTTGTTTTGCTCTCCATTCTATCATAATATCGCGAATAATACTCACTGAGCGATTCTAATCCGGCCAGCCTGACGAGCATCGGTGCATGGATCAGATTGGAAAGTGCAAACCGACTCCCATTGTCAACACTATGGGCTTATCTGTCAATGACATGACGCACAGAGGAACACGTGGACTATTCCCACTGTGATTGAACCACCTGTGACATCACGAACCGTTACTGTAGTGACACCTTGGATCAAGTCCCGGGTAACGCGGTTATCGCCCCTGTTCGCTATAAAATCCCACCCCAATAGCACACTGACTCACGTGGTCTGACGAAGCTCTTGTGTCAAGGGCGAAACGTTACCATACTACTGTACCAACCGATTGTTTCCAACTCTCTGAACTCATGACTACTCGATCGGTTCCAAGTATCTTTCAAGAATTCGAAGCATTCACTGATCTTCTAAGAAACAAAATGAGACGTTACTTTGTTTCATGGTATCACGTACCACTTAGGGCTTGGTCATCTCAACGTTGCATCTCTTTGAGGTAGCCCGGTGATTTCACATATTTTCATAATGGCTTCCGGATTGGAGTTTGCGCGCCTCATCCTAAAATTTCACAGAAAATGACTGACGATCGGTATCGATAGCGTGGTTATTGTCTTCTCGTATTCGGAATGCCTGATTAAGGTGTGTACGATGCTGCCACAGTGAAAACCGTAAGATTGCTCTCTGACTGAAACTATCCAGTGTTCACACTGTAGCACCTCACCTTGTTCCTAGCTTGTAGGTGTTTTTCGTTTGATCCCCTTCATCTTCTTTGTATCGCTCTAAAACGGCACTGGCCTGTCATCCATGTCTACTTGGCAATGAGGTACCGGTTCAAGTTCCTGTTTTCGATTGTTAGTGACAACGGGGCTGAGCTATGCTTTTCATGTCATTCCGGTGGTCTCCTCTTGAGGCTTCCAACGTAGGCATCTTATAAATAAATAAATAAATTTGTATATTTACCGACGGACGGTACACGGCCCCATAAGTGGGAGCGATCATGTGTATAGTGAACACGTTTCATAACATTAAATAAAAGTTTACTAATAGCATTTCGGATCATGATTACTTTTCCTTGAGTCCTAGACCCGCGCAACTCATATGTAGAATTTACGGATGTTTGTATCGTCAGGAGTAGATAATAAACGAAGGGACTATTAGGCTGCAAAGACACAGGATTTGGTATGGTATGTAATGACATGTAGTGGGTAAGCTAGCTGTAAGCTATTATCAAATGATTAACAACTGATCTAAATGCACAAACTGGGGATTTTGTCTCTTGTCATCGGTCGGGCTTTGTTTTGACTACACGGGCAGCAATGGTACAAGCTAGAGTTCTCTTTTGAACCTCAGTTGTTTGTCCGCTCTCTTAACTGAATCACCCCCATATCGACGACATCGTTGTTAGACGCCCGTCCCCTACATGGTGGCCACGTCTTTACCTTTGGCTACTGGCTCCAATCTCATGTGATGATCTTACCCTTTTTCCACACTATTTTGCGCAACCTTTTTGTTCGTTTTTTTTGATTCCTTAACTTTAAACGATAGTTGACTAACTGAACTCACCATAGTTCACCATTCCATGTGGGCTGCGTCCGGTATGGTTGTTTCTTTCTTTTAACTTGTGATCGAAACTGCCTAAGTTGCCATCTTCTATTCGCACATTCTGGAATGGAAACTCAACTTTGCAGCTGTCTGAAAGTTTTGAGTATCCGGATCCTGTCGCTTCTCTGAGATTCCATTTAGTCCTGATGCATGTGCCATCTACCGGTTCGGATCACTGCACCAGACACCTTAGCGTGTACATCGTGCCTTTGATGCTTACGTTCTTCTACGTGGTCGAATTGCCACATGACCCCTCTGTTGAGAAGTCACTTGACTTGAACGCTGAGTTCGCTGGATTTCGAACTACATCGATATACAACCTATCAGTCTGTCTGTCACTGTGGGATTCCAGTACCATTAGTGTCCTTCTGTGGATCTTCAACAATCGCATTGATATTCAACTAATGGTCTAAGTTGAGTTATTCGATGTGCGGTACTTACCTATGTCGTCCATCCTTGTCTTCGTTGTTACATGTTTTGTTAACTTTGATGACTACTTTCCCACATTCTCAAAGGGAACATTTTGAACACTGGTTATGTAGACAACACCCGTGATCTATGGGATGCTTCTGCAAGCCCGTATTCGTGGATTAGTAGACTGTTTACATGAAGTGATTATGCCTACGTACTCACCACTTACGCCGTTCCACCGTTTGCCAGCCCAATTATTCACCGAAGGCGTAACTCACTATTCAGTCCGACCAAAAACTGATAAGGTGTTAAGGCGATGGTCAATCACTACTGGTGTTACGAATAACCAAGGAAGTTTGTTAACAAAAATAATACGAAGATGCAGGTGCAGTTATACCTCTGTGCTTGAAAAGCGCCCTGCTGTTACCACTTTTTCCACTTATTGACGTGATATTTCTGCAGACGGTAAACAAAATAACACGAGGTACATCTCGGAACGGAACGGCTCAGAATGGACAACATAGCTGAAGAAAGGTTGAAAAAGCATCTGAGGATGCAACACTTGTGTATGGTCTCAATCACATACTCCTGGTGTGCTCGACACAGCATCTTCGTTGCGACTGGAAAGCTGAAACCAAGCCTCAATACGTCGAAATGGCGGTCGAAACACCGCCAGCCAAAGTTCACGTCGCTCTGCTTTGGCGTCTGCGCCCAGAGTCAAACCACCGATGAAATCATTGCTTGGTCCGCGATCGAAGTCCCACACGGTTACCTCCAAAGTTCGCTGACCAGCTTCCGATGCACGCATTTCGTAATAGAATTGCTGAAAACAATGTGACACGGACTTTTCTGACTAAATGGACCATCTGGATTTACTGCATGTACATCATATTGTCCGGTTAAGTAAAACAGAGGTAACACTTTTGTTTTCCATTTTTGTACCATCTTCGACTACTAGCATTTATCCGCTTAAAGCAGGGAATGGTGGCTCTGCGTCTATCGGGATCTCAAGTAAAATACGCCATATTGAATATACAACTGCATCCAGACAATTCCTTCTCGTTTTCATTTCTGCGCTGATAATCACCAGTAAATGTGCCAAGTAGTAAGGAGGGAATAAAATCGTAACGAATCTCAGGTATGGCTTTCTCACGTGCGATCATGGCGTTCCTACTCAACTCCCGTTAAGTATAGCACTCCTTACTAGCGAATAGGTGATGAACATTACGTGGATGTAAGTGATATCGATGTTCTTGTTGCTGTCTGTCACTTCGGAAGGAAACATGCTTTTTGGTTCTACGCAAGGTATTCCATTCATAACTTTTGTAATAACAATACAATAACCTGAAGTCTCGTCTTTTATCTTAAGTGAAACTCTTGTGTTGTAATGCTCTGTCAATTAAGTGTTCCGAATGATTTACCTAGAGCAGTCAAGTACATGCCGACGGATCGAGTAAGCGAATAGCTTGAGGTTACTGGTGACCAGCATGCACGGGGTCTGCTCCGAGCTCTCTATAGATATCCTCCTCTGTAATCTGTCAATGTACTTGTAACCACAGGTTCAGTAAGTGGAATAGACGAGGAATACACGAGGCGTCAACTTGACATTCAAACATGTTCACGTTGGACTTGCGAAACATCTGATCGACTTGGTGCAGCAATACTAATTCGACTGCGCGAGATGGTTTGTTATAAGGTGCAGACCAGATCGAACGAGCCACCTATTTCATGTCCGGTCATGAATTTGATCTCGTGTAGGCACTTGTGTATAACATCAAGCAGTATCAATCACATCGAGCTTGTCGACAAGCTATCCGCTACACTATTGCACATCCTTTTTATACGGACGCTGTTAAGAGTCCTCAAGGTGACATGGCTACATACTCAGTCTGTGGATACATGGCTCCACTGAATGGAAAACAAAATAGAGGGGCTTCAATGGACGAGTTGTGCACATATTTTGCAGGCTGAATGGACGGTTGGTCGTTGCTGGACTCCGGTAACTTGGAACTCAAACGTTGTTGTTTGTTTGATTGTGCCTCTATTGGATAAAAATGTGCACAGAACACTGTATAGACTCATCGTCATTATACACGCTAACTAGTGGTCGAAAACACCTCAGGTGTGCCCAACTACAGACCAGTTAGATGGCAGTAAGAAAGTGAGAAAGAAAAAACAACGCCGATGCAAGACAGAAAAGTATATGCGTCGAGGCTTTGGTCGTGGTTGGAGAGGGAAGCTTAGCGGAGATAACGAAACTCACATCACAAAAGCCACAAATCGGTTCTTAACCATGTCAACCAACTTGTTCATCGTCTTTCATACCCTGACCGAAGTGTTCTAACCGAAGCCAACTTCAAAGTGATGGTCTTCATCCCTCTTGAGCAAGTCATCGATTGGCCTCATAGTTTAAACTACTCAGGATAGGTCGACAGATCTCACTGTGACGTGTAATTCGGTGATGCACTTAATGGGAGCTACAATTTGTGCAGCATCTAAATATGTCACAGTGCAATGACCGGCTGGCCGCTGTCTATTCGTCACACATTTTGCAAAGGGACTTAGATATGAGAACATCCAAAGGCATCACTTACAAATACAGATTCTCTGATGGGAAATGCAATAGTGGTTCCACTAGCTTATCCGGTGAGCGAAAATTTTCGTGAGAGGGACGTTTTCTTAGCAGATTCATGGGAAATTTCTCTTTCACAAATTTCAAGATAGCAAGATGACGCAACTCCCCAACATGGGAACGTGCATGCCACTATTTTAGTGTTGCTCATCCCAACACGGGCACCCCTAGTCCAACTTTGTGAATGCCGCTATTTTTAATGCTGTTCTCGGTTTTCAACTTCGAAAGATGGTCACAGTGGAACTATTTCAATGTGGTACGATCCAGTTTTTACGTACATGGCTCACTGAGTTGTACTGAATCAGCTACCTACAGTTTACAGCTCGGCCTGTACGAAACTACAACTCTCAGTGAAGCGCAGTGTTCGGCTCGTGGCGCATGACAGTAGAACACGTCTGTTTCAACAATACGCAAAAGATATTACGTATATACTCGGACACAACGCTTCGTACAATTTAACTTGACACTTACTGATGCGGCCAATTGGAAGCAAGTGAACTTGACTCACGCAGATGCCACACTATATCAGTAACGCTAATTATTGGAGGTCAGACAAATCTGGTCTTAGCTGCCCCACTGGGAGTCAAGGTAGAGACCGACGCTCCTCTCCTGTCAAAGCTTAAGAGTAGAAGACAGCAGTATGTACGCTGAACGTACAGCTCGAGTGACCTTGAGCACGAGAGCCATGAGTTGACTTTGTCGGCAGGAGAGCACTATCCACTGTCTAGTTTACAGCAAAAGACCCTCATCGCACCGAAATGCCGCATCGCCATTGCTCACTTCTTCTGTTTTCCTTCTGTCCTTATGGGAGATAGTGATGGATCTCTTCTGGTTTCGTTAGCCACCCTGCCAAGGAGGCGGCATCACTCTGAGTTTATCCTACTATTTCATATTGAAGCTTTCAATATCATCACAAGTTGTCATGTTAGCCAATGGCTTTATCGCCTAACTGTAGGTTTATGTTCGCTTGACGTTGCTGCGTACTGTGCTTCCAAATCACACACACAAGGAATAGTGTGTTGATACATCTGCGCTTACCAAATTCGGTTTCAACTATTGCGAAATCCACCCCTCAATCCACATACATTGTCGGTCCTAGCGGGTAGAGCTGTGTCCATATGGATCTCACAAAACAGTCGCACATTCCAGTCAGTGGACAGCGGTCAAGGGTTAGGTGCTTTCTTATTGGTTCGGCATATGTTATGGATGTGCCATGCCTGTCCTCTGCACGTCCATAACATGCATGACAGTGGACGATAAGCCTCACTATATCGTAGTTAGAACTCAGTCATAGTGGTCCGTAAGAGTAAAGTTGTGAGTTTGGATCCAGCCGGATGCGCGCCGTTGACGAGTCCAAGTAGGACGAAACGGCCTCAGCCTTCTCCTGGATCTGTGGCGGCTGTCTTCCTGAGTCTAGCCGCGATTTATAGTTCGTAGACAACAGGAACTGGGTATACTGAAACGGATTGCATACTTCGATTGAAGAGATTTCCACTCGCCTCTCCTCTTCCATCATAAGACCAATGCTAGTGTACGGCTCACTCGCCTATTGTCTGATCACTCATGACGAGGTGTAGAGACTGGAACAGGTTCAGTATGTGGTCACGTGGCTCATCTCTAATTTCCGAGGGATGTCTCACGAAGACCGATACAGCAGACTGGGGCTTCACACCTTGTCGTATCGTCGGTTTATGATTGGCCTCATTATTGTGCACCAAATATTGCTTCTGGGTCATTCTCCTATGTTGAGGCTACTAATTCACATATACACACCAAGCAGCACTCGCAGACATCAATACAAGATCGTAGTGTCGGATCTGAAGCCTATGGCTCTATATGCTTCGAGCGGCGAGTTGTGAAATATTGGAGCAGTTTGCCCGAGACAATAGTCGTGGCAACTTCGGTATCGCAATTCAAGCCATTCCTGGACGCCCACTTCGCGCATTACAGCCTTAGGGGGCGCATCACACTTGAGTACGACATGGTGCAACCGCAATATGCTGCAAAGGCGCAGGATTCAGTGACGTGATTCCACGCAGGTGCGCGGTTTGATTTCGATGGAGCAACAAGGATGAGTGTCTTCCAGTTCACTGTTTTCGGTATTCAAAGACACGATAAATCTTCCTACTGCTTTCTGATAAGTTTTAAAGATGAAACGGTAGGCGAAAACCCTTAATTAGGGTATTTGAAAGCATCAGGCATCACCGGTACGCACTTGACCTTCATTGACGCTTCGCCGCTGTGCGACCGCCGCCAGTTCTTCTGACGGTTATTACTGCGATGTCGCACGAACCCACGCAGGTTTGCAACGGTGGATGTCGGATTAAAAGTCAAATGCCTCATTATTTCGTCCACAGAATGATAGCTGAGCACTCGAGGACATATTACACTTTCTTCATCAGGTCTGTTCCCTACTCAACCATAAACGTCAGCTCGGCAACAAAGCTTAAGTAGCTTCACAGACAAACTGTCGGTAAAAAGAATCCTTATGTGGTGTATTCGTTGTGTCAACCCCTTGCCTCCTCATTCGCTAACCTAATAACTTTGAGCCAACTTATAATGGTTAGATCCTACGGCACACGGCAACGCCGTTACCTTCATCCTAGTGCCCGATAGGATGCGTGTATTGACGGCAACACGCCACCGCAGCAGGGTTTTTCGATTGGGATATCCCAAACTTATTTTGATTATGCTATCGGGGTTGTAATACACCTCGAGACTTATCTCACATCGGAACAATACGAGCCAAGGGTGTAGTCCTACAGCACTGAACTTGGTTTCCCCTGCTTCGAGAAGCCTTCATCTCACACTTCGCGGAGGCAGATTCTCATTGTTTTTCAGTCGCATACAGACGCGTTTTAGTTATACTGCTGTTCCTGGTCCTTAGCGGATGTTCCAAATCCCATGGTTCCCTTGAGTCATGCCACCTCGCATTTTTTTCAAATTGAGTCAGTTGTTCCACAAAACGGTGCAGTGGTTTATTTCCGGTCAAGTGTACATGGATTATGGTTGCACATGTTCGGTTCCGTCCATTACTAGGTACTGTATGCGAACCAGTGAAACTATACTCCTTCCTCGGGAAGGGAGTCATTTTGTAGCACACGTGTGAATAGATTGCGACGCACAATCTTATTCAGGACCACAACTCACTCTCAAATGAACGTCGGTCACTCTTTCCTTATCATTAGACTTTTACCATT